GTCCTGCTCAGCAGGGCCCTCGCATGGTGGGTGCGCGGCTGTCGTGGACCAGCCCCCAGGCCAGGCACGTGGGTGACGCAAGCAACCAGCTTGCAATGTTGTCACTGTGCTGCGGCCAAGCGCGTGCCGCCTTCTCAGGTGGCTTTGCAGACGTGCATGGTGCTGCCCAGGAGTGACAGCCGGGAAGCTGGTGCTTTGGGAAGTCATGCGATTCAGAGCTGCCTCGCTGTCACGGGTTTCACCCAGCCCGGGTGGCTCTGCTACAGCGGTTAAGAAGGACACGATGCCGGCCAAGCGGTGCCACTGGCACGGGAGTAAGCCCTGACTAAATGACCCGTTGCTGGAACAGATGCTATCAAGGGTAATGCTGGCCCTGACATAAGCTGCTACATTCTTGTGTAACCAGAAAAGTCGAGCATGTTGTCTCTGGCTTAATTAAACACTTTACTGAACTTTTCACATTCATGGTGAAGGAAACATAAAATATGGAGGGATTCTTTTCCATGACTTTTTTTTTTTTTTGCTGGAACACTGTAGGGGGCTTTTCCTGCTCTATAATGTATTTCATTCTGGCTCTGTGCTTCAAATTCAGATTCACTGCGTGGTCGTACCTTAGATTGAGCAGACGTTTTGGAAGATGATTTTGCTATAGATTTCTCTGGCAACCTGTAGCATCCCATGAGCATCTCTTTTATTGCAGTGAACTTTACCAAAAAAGCTTCACTTTGCAGATATCCCAGTATGCAGTAGTTTGAGACTGGTCTGCATCTAGGCAATGATGCAGTATTAGGAGGAATATTATTGTATGTGCACCTTAAATGGCAAAAGGAAAATATTCTGTGCTTTACTAATGCCAAGTCTCTTTCAGGTCTAGAGAAACTCTGATGCCAGAGGTGAAGTTCAAACTGGCTTGTCGCTGTGATCCTCATGCTTGTTTTAAGGTGTGAGATGAGGGTTTTTATAGGAGCTGCAAGAGGAAAGGCAGGACAGGAAATAATTAAAGTGCAAAAGAGAATCATTTGAGATAAATTCATTTTTCTTACTTCTCTTTTCTTTTTAAAGGCAATGCAGTCGAACACAGTTATTTTTCCCCACACTGAGAAAGTTTATATTCTAAAGTATGGAATGAGCTGGTAGGAAGTCATAGATCCCTGCAGTGAGCAACAGGATGCAGACTGCAGCTCACCCTTTTCCATTGCTAATCAAACAAATCTACTATTTGATTAATAACCATTATTTTGAGTGGCAGTTAGCAGTGCCAAAGGCTTTGAAAATAAATTTCAAAAGTGGGATTTTAGCATGAGCAACATACCGTGTTTGGGTACTGAAACAAGTGACTTGGCTTACAGAGGACGGTGCACAACTTCTCACTTTCTTGGCAGTAGAGATGACTGAGAGTTCTTAAAATCTCTAAAATTCGAGCCATTAATTTCTGAGCGTAAATAATGGATTTAGGTGTCCAGGTTTAGACATTTACATATTTGAAAATTGCAATGCTTGTTGAGGAATAATCAAATATTGCAAAATTTATTACTTTTTTCTTTGTCAGTTCATCTGGATCTTTCCAGATAAAGTGTCAGATTTTTTTTTAATATCTTTTTAATCTTTTCTGAAAACAAATAGGGGAGTAAAAGAAGCAATTTCAAACATCCTCTCTTCCAAAATGAAAAGGATGCTGTGTAAAAGATCATCTCTGTGATGCACATTTGTTATCTGTAGAGCAAGGGAAGCTACAACTAGCATTTCAGAACTTTCGAAGTCATTTCCTTGTAATGAAAAGTTACTTAAAAATACTTAAATGCCTCAGTTCTGTTACAAAATATGGTAAAATAGTTTGCAATTTATTAAAATTAGGGGACTATTTTTGTATTATGTAAATATACTCAGAAAAGGGCATACTGTAAATGAAGAACTGCAGTTTTGTGCAGCTGACCTAGCTGTACTCAATTAATGAATATATTTTGCGTACAAAAATGTTCATTGTCACTGCATTTGGGAAACTGGTATCATGGCAAGGTTAGTAAATGCAAGTCATGGCACATGCATTGTCTAAATACTACATTAAAAGGTGCATCACTTTCAGAGCACTTTAGCAAAACCACAAATATATGAGAACAGATTTTTTTGTGAAGAAAAAGTTGATTTTTTTTTCAGAATATTGCAGGCAATTAGCTATGGACAAATAAGTGAGAAATGCAAATACAATGTGGGATCAGTTATCTCTGAGTAATGACATGTGTGATACACGAGTTGTTCAGTGAAAACTGATAGTCACCCTAGTGAGTCAAAATTTAGACAAAATAATTGAGGCCCATATGATCTGTGCTGCTGAGCAGGCTTGCTGGGATATTGTGGCTTCAGTTGATGGCAACTGCAGTTGCTGCATCTTGTGCTGGAATGGTAGAACTGGACTTTTCCAGAGAATATAGTGGTGAGCTCAGCAATCCAGGGCTTATTTTGTCCCCAAGAAGTAGTGTTCAATGTGAAGAAGACGTGGTGCAGTAAAGACCCAGCTAGATGTAGCTCCATGGTTCACTTGGGATGGAGCCATGATATGGGACGAGCAGCTTCTCTGGCCCAGGATGGTCAAGCTGGGCTTAGATTCCCTTCCTGTGAGAGCCTGAGAAGCTGTTAGTACCAAAACTGATTTCTACGACTTGTCATTGGGGCTGGAAGAGAATTTTAGTCCTAAGGAAGAAATGTCTAAATAGCCTAGAATAAATTTAGATTTTTTTTTTTTTTAGTGCTACTTCTTGCTAGTTATTATAGCTTTGGCTTCTGTCAAAGTCTGTCATTTCCATAGCAATGCAATAGGCTGATGCACAGTCACTTTCCTATAAAAGACAGTGAAATTAGTTAAAACTTCACTGCAAAATCAAACAAAAAGAGAGGAAAGGTTAGAAGGGAAAAAGTCTGTTCCTTAGCAAAAATATGATGGTAGTGAAACTCTCTGAACATTGACTATAGAGGGAGTAAAGGCTGACAGACTGCTCCAGAATTTCATAAAACTGTCAAAAATCAACACAGAGAAACACATGAGGATAATTGGTTTGTACTTAAAATATTCTCCTGTTCGCATTTGCGCTTTTTTAAAAGTTGCCTACATCAGGACACCTTAGCCTGTTCTATTTACCTCCACAAAACAAAAAACAGCCACTCTTCAAGAGCAAATGTTACAGTGATTTGTTTAAAATAAAGTATACTCTAGTCTATGAAATGTCCTGTGTAAGTGGAAGGATAATAGAGGTTCTTCTCTAGCTTACCCTTCAGATAATACGATGAAATACTTTATTAAAATTCTACTCTGTACAGTAGTTAAACCTGGCAAAAATTGGTCCAGCACTTATGTAATTTAGTGCTGTTCTCTTTAGGAAGAAATGAAATGTATGTAGACAAAGGACAGACTTCGCCAGGAATAAATGACATATTAGATTCAGGAAATTCCTGTGTGTAAAACTGGGAGTATTCCCTGCTGCAATATATTTGTAAAAATTCTTCTTGTGATTTTAATGTTAAATTCAGCACTATACTGTGTCCATGTTATATCTCTCCTGATGGCAATCAGATGAATAATTTTCCTCTAATGTTAATTGCTCATCAAACTCTAAAGTTGCACTCTAGAAAGGCCGTATATAAGAGGGAATACTGTAGTTCTGCAGTGTTTCTTTTCTAGCATATCTATACACATATATTCAACAGAACGTTAAGCAACAGAGCGAAGCTGCAAAACTCTGAAGTTTTGCTTTCTGATGCTTTTGTTTGTTTGTTCGTTTGTTTGTTTATTGATAAATCTAACTTTCTTTGGGTATTTGTGTGGGTTAGTAGGTCTTATGTTTTAAAACAACCAGGAAAATACTGGAATATAATCTATTGGAATATAATCTGACCTGGGATGTTATTTCAAAAATAAGGGTTAGAAGTCTTGCCATTCAACAACATGCTAATTGCTATATAATAAGGAATTTAAAATCATAATTCTCTCCTTTTTCTTAACTTGCAGAATAGGTAGCCCAGATAAATGACTTCTGCTCAACATAACGATCTGGAAGCATAACTTTATTCCTCAATCTGTTTGTTACAGGGAGAAGTCTGTAGGAAACCCAGCAGTTATGGCATTTATTTGCCCAGTTCTGCGTTGTTCCATGTCTTATGTTACTTTTTAGCTGATGAAACGTAGATGCTACTGTGGACTCCACTCTGCAGTACAGCTCTATGTTGTTTTTTCCCTTCTTTGGCAGTCCAGCGATCCTCACCTCTTATCTTTTGCTTTGCACATGGGTGTTTCATGGAGCGCCCCAACTGATGCCCTTGGCAGGGAAGCTGAGCGTGGCGGGCAGGGGGGCTGCGTACGGGGCTCCCGTCCCGCCGTGCACAGACATAGATCCAGTGTTTGACTCTGCTCCAGACCCCAGCAGCACGTATAGGTCTGGGTCTTTGAACTGCATATACCAAGATGGAGGTATCTTTTCCATAAGTGTCTTAAGATCCCCCTGATACAGAGGCATTCAGAATATATACATAATAACTCCTTGGTGCATAGTGAAGTGCTTGTGCAAAGCAATTTGAAATTGCAGTTGTTTTGTTTATTCTGTTCATCACGTTCAAATCATATGGGAACATACAATGGAAGAAGTAATTCAAAACGCAGTAGCTGGTTTTATTTCTCTTCGTAGCACGTGGTAACACTGGTATTGGCTTTATTACTGTGCTGTTATTAAGCTTGAATGATGATCTTCTCAAACGACTGAGGTGTTCCAACCCTTACCGCAAAGCATTTCTATTTTAGGGGGCGTTTGTCTCCAGTGAATTCTGCTTCCTTCCTTACTTCCTTTTTCTGCCAAGCTAATGTTAAACTTTTAGTGCATGACATCATTCCTACAGATCAACAGGGTGCAATGCAATTTATTTTTGTATAGCACCACTTACATGGCATGTGACAAGTCCCTGGATGGAAAGCACTGGAGACCTCTGTGTTATTTGGTAGCAGG